CTTTCCCTAACAACAGGTAAAGAAACCTTTGCCAGAGGTGTAATTAAGACTATATGAATGCTGGAACAAGCATGGATCCCGTTCAAATAGTCAGGCATCAGTCACAATGAAAAGCCAGAAGCAGTTATATTTTTATCATCCAATATAAAAAAATATTTCTCAATCAGTGTTTCAATACAGTTAAAAGTTAAAAACCCTCTACATAACTAATAAATTAAAAACCCCATGTCTCCAACCATCTTGTAAGAAAGTAGGTAAGTAATTTAAACCTTTAGTTTACATAAATTAGCACAGAAATGTGTATTTGAACAAGTGCACTGAAAACAGATATGCCTTCTTTTCTTCTGATATCTCTTATTTGAGTTATTAAGCCACAGGAAAGCCTTTATATTCTTTGCATGACCTTGAGAGTCTGCTAACACTAAATGGTCAACAGTCAAACCCCAGGAGAATGTTTCACCAGACAGACAATGACAAGAGGGAGCATGAAGTCCAGTCAAATGCTTTGCAGCCTTATTACAGTAGACTTCAACATTCAATTGCAGAGTATTTACTCTCAGGAAGGGCTGAAGGTAATATATTTATACTGCAAATCACATGAGTGAAATTTGATGGGTTGATAGAGGTGGGGTTTTTTTTAACCTATTAAAGTATCATTTTTTTCGGAGGTAGTTTGCAAGGCAATAGTGATGTACATGAGTGGAAACAATACTCCTTTGCTTGACTGCAGATAAAACACTTAAATACTGTTGATGCTATCCCTCAACCTCCCAGAGAAGGCTTAATGGGTAAGATGTTTTAATCGGAGCTGACAACAGCCAATTAAGTGTCAGAAGAACAATCTGATAAGTAGGTCTTCATGTCTATAGGCATTTCCTGATATGTCTTAACTGTCAATCTGAATGTTAAACATCTCTATCTTTATTTCATTATTGACTGATTTATTAAAGGAGAATGCTTTCATCTCTTTTTTTTGACTTTGGGGTTGCTCCAGAAAGAAGGAAAGGAAAATACTAGGAACAACTCTTAATTTGGAATAATAGATGGGGAATCCTAATTATAGCAAAGTCCTAATCTTCCAACTGAGCAGGCGTATGGTTTGGTGCCACCATTACCATGCAGCTGCCCCCACCATACCTTTCAAGGAGTGGTAGACGCTCAGTCTAGAGGAGATCTGTTTCTTTAATAGGTGGAAGGATATCTATGGACGTGCTAGCAGGCTGCTCTCTGCTTTCAGTGCTTCTTGCTAGTCATACAGAAGACAACACCTCGCTGGATGGATCTTTTCCCTTCTTGTCCTCACCCCTGTCGATATCAATCACATGAACTATGCCAGGCTTTAGGATCAGGTCATCCGTCTCTACATGGCTCCTGTTATCGTCCACCTCAATGTACTTCCCTTTGGACGGCTGGGTAGCCTTACTGAAGACATCTTTAAAACGGCGCTTGAGTTCAACATCTGGGCAATAGACATACTCATAAAGAGCACCAGCAAGGACTGCTCCTATTATTGGTCCCACCCAATATACCTGCAAAAAGAGGCAGAAAAAAGACAGGTATTAAGCTCTAGAGCAAATAGAGAAGCCAGGGTCTCAGAGAAAAGCATGTCACTACAGACTTCACCCAGAAAAGTTTCTGCAAAATGCCCTGGCCCAACTGTTAAAACCAGCTCTCCAGAAATGTGTGGTCACATAGTTCCCTGGCTTTCTTGAACCAGGATGAAATCTACCAACATACCAGTTCATGAGGCAGAGAAGTGCAACTACCATGGGTTTCACAGATGATGACCTGGAGCTCAGCAATTGACTGCTCTAAAATCACAGATGAAGTTGGTCAAAAGGCAGTCTCTTGAGCAGTTAATGGCATTAGTCCTAGGTAATTTTTTTTCCTTTCTGTCTCCTCCCAGTCTCTCTCTTTCACATATATTCCATCCCTTCAGAAATACTCTCTAGTCACCTTCAATCCAGTCATCTAAACCATGTCGCAACCATGGGTATGGCTCTTCCCCCAAAACTCCTCTCCTGCCAGTGTTTAGGGAATCACCAGGCAATGGACACCATGGAGCAGAGGAGAGGGACCTATGCCGACATGCCAGTGAGGTGCAGTTACTATTTCCCTGATGCCTGAAAAAGACTTCAGTTTACGTGTCTGGTTACCAGTGTTCTGGGGTAGATTGGCTGAGCAGTAGTGAAGCTATGGACACCTCCCATGGACAGACACACAGGCATTTGCTCTAGCTGCCCTACCTTCTCCTGTTAATAGAAAGCAGTTTTTCTCCCCTCTTTATGGGAGACTGAACTTATTTTTTTTAAACTTTATCCAACAAGACAAAAGTACACATTCTCCATCATCCTTATTTGGATCAACCATAGCTATAAAATTTCTTGAGACAAAAAATGCCATAGATCCTGGTGGAGTCCTACATGGCTTGTCAAATACAGCTCTGTAGTCAGATACAACATACAGTTGCCCTGGCATAGCTTTGCTTTTAAACTAGCAGGGGTAAGATGATTGAGAAGCAGGTCCACATCTTCAAAGAGAAATAGTTTTGTCAAGTTTATTGATCCACCTGTTTTAAAGAGGCCTCCTCTAAATTTTCATCACCCGTTGCCAGCTGTAGACAACATATATGGACTGTTTGCAAGGTGACACACAAAATAAACACCAATGTCGAAAAGGAAATTTTCTTTCTGCATTTTCCCCCAAGGTGGCAATGAACCTCTAATGAAACAAAACCTTTCTTAGTGTATACACAAACAGTTCTTCTTCAGCATTTCAGACTAAGATTTCCAAAATAACCCAAATTTGGCCTCTGATCCCACAGAATCCAACTGGCAGTCAGCTACCTGATTATCTAGTTTGAATAAGCAAATCCAACCGACACACACAACTTCGGAGGGTACCTATCTATTTCAGCATGACGTGCAGCAGCTCTGTAACATTAGTAGGTGCAGAAGCCCATGGGCTTCTGTCAATGGCGTGCCAATGTCACTGCTCCGGAGAAGGAGGAAAGGCCGTCTTTCCAAGTGACCAGGACAGTAGCTAAGCTTCTCCTGCAAGTTCCTCCATGGTACATTTGTTTATTGTTTATAGCTCTAGTTATAAATTACAGGCTCCCTCAGAGTATGGATAATTAATCTTGGGAAAAACTACAGCAGTTTTTCATATGAACAAGCCTTTCACTGATAACTGGGTAAATCTGCTTCAATAGGATAACTCTTGGGAACAAAGTTACACATAGCATTGTGTTTGCAGAATTGGAGCCTTAGGGCCTGAAGACAATGCTATTTCTGTTATTAGCTGCACTGGGAGCAATGTGGGCTTCATACTTTAAAAATCAAGAAAATCCTTATATGCACTGTAATAAGCAGCTCTTACAGCTAGCATTGGAGGTGTCCCTAGAAGTGCTTTCCTTGTCTTTAATTAGGCAAGGCTGAGCTGCAATCCATCTCTCCCTTATAAAATGTGAATTGGTTTTTAATAATTTTAATAGTGGGATGCTATAGAAAATGACTGCATCATTCACAATCTGTTTATCAAATTGTTGCCTGCACAAATACTCCTAGTTATGCTGACGCTTTCAAACTGCAGCAGGTAACATCTGGTCTGGTCTGCAAAGACCGGGCTGCAACCCCTTCATCCCTTGCTGCGGGCATTTGCCGAGGCAGGTTCTCCCCTGGGAACCAGATCACAGAGGGTCCCTGCTCTCATTTTATACGTCTGCCCCAGTTTGCTGCAGAACCAGGTGAAACGTGAAGCCGACAGAATTACTTCCATCACTTCTCACCAGTGTGACCGGGGGGTTTGCAATCTGCCTCGGAGGATTTTTCTTTCCAGCAGTTCAATTCTTTTGGTCTCGCTGGATTGCTTTTTTTTTTTGTTTTGAACTTTTTGTATGATTTCCTTTCTACCCCAGCTACTACCTCCACAAAAGAGCCCCCAAACAGCAAGACGCTATTCCAAGGTGCTGCATACTGTGCCACAGTCCTCGGTGAGGAGCGTAATTACACCAAAGCTTGGGGCAGGTCAGCGCCCGTCTTCCTCAGTAATGGTCTCTGTGGGATGTACTGGGATGGATAACTAAAAGCAAACGATGTATGGAAAATCCTGATAGCTGTTTGTTGCTGTGGTGAAGGAAGATGGTGAAGGAAGCATGAAAGCGGAATTACCCATTGGTTTTCCCATCTCCCCATAATGACAGCAGGTCCAAATGATCGAGCAGGGTTCATACTGGCACCGGTGTAATTGATCTAAAGCAGAGACAAAATGTTACCTGTTATTAAAGTCGTGAAGACAGTTATTCAATTTCTGCTAGTCCTTGTATATGGGGACACCCTGGTTTTGCATGGCTTCTAATCGCGACAGCAAGGATTGTCACTCCCCCGAGTCTTAGCACAAAATTGACAATGGCATCGCATAAACAGGCAGAACACCTCTGATGCAACACCCTACCCAAGGGGTAGCCTCTTGCTGCGCCAAAGGGTTTTGGCACAGATCTATAAAGATTCTAGCAGCTATATAGCTATAGCAGCTATAAAGGCCACAGAAGTTTCCATTTATCTCTGAAGTAGTCATAAAGGGACAAGGGGTCTATTTTTTAAAGAGAAGGCATTAACTTACAGCAAATAAATGTCCAATTGCAACAGAAAATCCAATTGCTAAAGCTACTGAACCGGTGACATCACTTCGTTTTGAATCACAGCTGGCAAAAATAGTAAAAACCAGCTGGAATGTAATTATCAACTCCACCAGGAGTCCATGGCCGGCGGAAAGATCCCCATGTACCTGGAAGAAGGGAAAGGAACATGGGAGATGAAACAAAGGTGATTTTGTAAATCAGAAAGCCACCACATACATTAATTATATTTCGATGAAAGGTACTTCTGAAGGGTACACAGTGAAAGACAACAACGACATTTAGAGCTACAGGTGTCCCCCCGCTTTTTTCTCTTTTTTAAATTTTTATTTTATTTTATTTTGAGAGCCATGGAAAATTACTGCTGGACGGAGAACAGAAGGCTCACCAGCAACATCCAACAAGAACTTCAAAGTTAGACTGCAGAAGTATAGTTTATTTTTACACAGGGATTTGCAAATGCTGCACTTCCCCTTCACCATTTTTTTTCTTGGGAGTACTGTAATTTACTATTCAATTATAAATTCATTAATTAGCCCTGACTTAATTAATTTAAATTTCAATTAAAAATTAAGCAGTGTGCGGCTCAAGTGCATTTTTAATAAGTCCTGCAACAGGGCTAACTGATGGCATTCCTTATTAGTTTAGAACAAAGCTGAAATCTAAGCCACAATCTATTTCAAAAGTATGTCATTTTAAATTGATGTTTTTTCAATCCCCATCATAATGGCATAGAATTAATTTCCCTCTCCCCAGCCCAAATAAAAATGGCATTTCATGCATATATTATTTAAATTTTGTATGTAAATTAACATTACCTGCTGTCATCAGATTTGGGGAAGTTCTAGGAAAGAGAACTTCTATAAAAAGAACAGCTATAGATATTATGCTGCATAAACCCATCCTAAGGAGAGCTTTAAGCCCTGTCTCGATGTTGTAAATAAACCAGCAAGCTCTTAAAATCTCTACTTGAGCTCTCTTTATTCCGCATGACACCAATTATATTTTCTTAGGCTCTAAGCTAGTCTAGTTCAAGAGCCGGAGGAGAAGTGATTACCGCAGTGACTCCCAGGCCTCCTACCACGCTTGGCGGTGTGACGAGGTAAAGGATGCCTGCGCCCACGATGGCTCCCAGGCACTGGGCAAGGATGTAGAAGACGGACTTGGCGAGGCTGATCTTCCTTGTGCAGACCATTGCCACAGTCACAGCAGGGTTAATGTGGCCTCCACTGATGTGTCCAAAGCACTGCACCATGGTTGCAATGCTGAGTCCAAAGCAGAGGGAGATAAGGACCATGTCTACAGGCAGGGGCTTCTCTGCCCCACCCCAGTTGATCGTGGAGCCGAGGCTGAGGAGGACAAAAATGAGCATGGCCAGAAATTCTGCCGAAACAGCTTTCCAGAAGGGCTGAGTCCAGACTCCTTTAAATGCCACCATGATGCTCTCACACTTACACAGACGTCCACACTTACTGAAAAGGAAAAGAAAGCTTCATCAGAAGCCACCAAATGAGCTTTGTGTTCTCCTGTTAGGGGGTTGCTATCCAGCAGACTTTGGAGAGAAGGCAGCAATGCCGAGTATCCTTGGGCTGGGACAACCACAGACTGCACCCTCAGAGCCCTTAAAACATGACCAGTGTTCGAGTTTCTGCAGGACACAGGGTAATTAATTACCCCTTGCATAAGTCTGTCTGTATTGCTTCAATTCACAAAAAGCAACCTCTGTATCTTTTGAAGTGAGTATGAAAATAAGTGTATTCTTCTACACTAGCTGATCTCTGCCTGACTTAAGAATATGTACAGCCCTACTGCTTCCAGTAGCCTGTTGACCATCATGCCCATTAAATCAGTGGCTATCCTCTTTTTCTAAGCAAATCTGTGCTTTTTTTCACAAAGCAGGTATGACAATTCAATAAAAAGCAATATCTTAGTCAAACTCTACTGGTTTTGATAACAGCGTAGCATTGGGAGGTTGCCCTGGGAGCTATAAGAGAAAGCCTATTTGTTTTAACACTCACACAGATCACTATTTCAATTTATATTTATGCAAAGAGTAGTTTCTTCACTGTGGATGTAGGGTAAAAACTGAATTCAGCCAGGACAATAGATGCAATCCTAAATTCTGACCTTTAAATCAATCATGCAATCAATAAAGTGCTTTCTTTTGGGCTAAGGGTGCCGAGCAAGCTGTGGAACAGAGCAGTATTTTCTGTATGTGTGGTATGTAGAACTCTGTGGCAAAGAAAGAAGTGCCTTGATTTTCTGCTCTGTCTGGAGATGCTATTTATTAGTCTGCACTGCCTTCCCGATGAGTTACAATTTTGCTAGATGTTCAGATACCTATGAAAGTGGGTCACCAAAGAAAAGTTATTTGTGGTATTAATAAATTAGGAGAATAAGCCAAAAGGGAAGCATTTTAATGAGTTTCTAAGGAATGCTAACAAGATTCTCCTCTAAAAACAAAAGCAAAAAACCTCCAGCCCCTCCAAAAAGTCGAAAACAAAAGAAAGAATATTCAGCTGCTACATTTGGGAACAGAATTTCAAGTGGAAGATGGATGAATTTATGCTCAGTTATCTAAGGTAACTGAGCTACAATGCATATTTAATACCACTTACATCAGAAAGAAGCATAAAGGCACGTCTGCCCTTTTCAAGTTATTGCAAGAGGAATGGCCCATGAATTTCTTAACAGTTGCAGTGAGTTAGGGAAAGGCAATTTAATCCTGTGACTGGAGCAAATAATTTGTTTCCCTGTCTCATTTCTTATGCTAATTTACTGTGTATTTTGGATAGGTCATTTGAACTCTTATCTCAGTTCTCTAGACTCTCAGATGAGAACAAGAATTACATTATCTCCTGCAAACGGCTGTTGTAAAGTGCCTGTGAAGTGATCCGAGAGACTTGAGCCGGGACTCGCTCTGCTAGAGAAGAACTGAAGCCAGAACCTCAAAAGAGAATAAAGTCATCCCGAGAATCTTCTGATTTTGGGTCAAACTCGAGACAAACAGATGTTTTTGTAAGATCTCATATTAACAGTCAGTTAATGACCAACTATCTAGACCAGACTTTTTGCTCAAAATGGCTCCGAAATCACTGCCTCCCCCAATGCTGAAGCTCACAGGTATTTGGCCATCCTTACCTTTGAACCCTATGCCCAGATTCTCACCAAAACCTAAAGGCTTACCTCTGACATCCTTACTGCTTCCTCACTAGTCGTTTATTTTAGTGGCCTGGGCATGACACAGGTGCTAGATCCATACTGAGAAAAGCTCATTTTCCCAGGGCATGTCCCAGGTGAACATTTCATATAGGGATAAGACTTATCCTGAAGCCCATGCAAAAGAAACCTGGATGCACAGACAAGGGAAGTGGCACTCATCCACCCTTTCACCCCCAGCTCAGTTGGGATTCAACCTGGATTTCCTTCAGCTTTCACTTACTAAGCAAAATGCAAGCTCTGGTGTTCTATTCCAGACTTCTCAAAAATTTCCAACCATCAAAGGCACTACGGGGGGAATGTAGGTTTTTTGGAGCATGACTCAGACACATAAGCTTGCTCATCAACCTGGAGAAAGTTTCTGTTCTTCTAAAACAGCATGATACGTGGAAAAAAATTCAAAATGGTAGAACTACGCTGTCAGCCATACTTTGATAGTTAATGATCTAAACATCTATTTTTAATGCACATGTTTTCTGAAGCAGTCTGTTTTTCTATGATTTTAACACCCAGCAAAATGTCCAGCTGTCGCGGCCAAATTTTTCTTTCAAACTGCACACCTTTCTTCCCCACAGCAAAAAACCCCCACCAACCCTACAAATGTTAATAAAAGCTTATTGCTGAGCCCTGAGTCCAGGTTTTCACTTAAATCCAAAGGCCATCAGCAGCTTAGAAATCAAAACCATCTCCAACATCCACTATTTTTTCAGCATGCAGTTAATTTAAAGGCTTGAGATGAGACAGAGCGATGGCTGTGCCAGGTCTGAAACCGATGTGGGTCTTCCCAGCAGCTAAGACTTGCCATCGAAGTTGCAAAACAATTTTTTGGAGTAGCTGTTGTTCATGATTGCCTTAGATAAATACAAAAACAGAACAACTGAAAGACGCTTTGATGTTATGGTCACACTGGAAAATTCTCTGGTCTGGACTACAAGATTACACAGTGGACTGTGCCTGACAGGACACCTGGTGGGTTTTTACAGGTCATGTTGCCATCAAGGCTGCAGGCATGGCTATGGGGCAATATAAATAATAACAAAGGCTAAGAGTCAAGACAAGATTTTTAAAATGTTTCCTTTTCTAACAAATATAATTTCAAGGAGCAGAGCAGGCACGCTGGAGGTGAGCTGGCAGCCAGCCGCTCCACACGACGCCGCTTTCGCCCAGAAGTTCTTGTGTGTGCGGCAGCTATTTAGGGTGGCATCTCGGCAGCAAACTCAGGTCTGCCCGACCCGTGCCGGCACAGCCCGCTGTCGCTCAAATGGCCATCGGGCACCCCCTTGACAATTTGAGGGGTGGAAGGGGCAACATGGCTACTGCTGCAAAACAAATGCACTTTCGCAAGGGCTTGCCTTGTAACCAGTGCGCCTCGTTCTCCAGGGCGATGCTGAACGAGGGGCGGGCGTGGGTACCTGCAGGAGGTGGGAAGGGGAGGCTGGGGAGCTTTCTGCCGGCGCGGCAGCCGGGCTTTCTTCGCACGCTTCGCTCCGCCACGGGACCACAAGCGGCGAAAAAACCCAAGGTTTTTAGTGGACGGAAAAGGAAGGGAGAGGGGGGCTGCAACCCTCTGCCCCCCTTCCCCCCCCCCCCGGTGTTAAGACGGAAGGACGACCGAAAGGCTCCGGT